TCCACAAATACTTTTTTAACAGGATATTTGTGCTAGAATCTGACACAATTACCTTATTACAAAAAGTTAAATTTTTTGTTGTGATTTTACCTGCACACATTTGACTTGTTATTATTAGTTTTATTATAACATGTATCACTTGGATGGATCTAAGAAATTGACTTGTTTGTGGAATGCCACTCAATTAATTGAATCAATGTTCCCTCCAATGTACCACCAAAAATGTACTTTTGGTTCAACCAATAAACTATCAACACCTAGTTGAAAACTATTTACTCTTATCTCTCGACATATAAACAATTTGTTAGACCTACATTTTACTTTAGTATGCCCAACACATGCATGCAGACAATAACGGGACATGGCACCGCACTTGGCTCAAAGTTTTTCGGCCTAATGGAAATGGATGGAATTCAAATATTTTATTTAATTTTTTGTATTTCGTTGTTAGTCCATTCCCAATAAAATGGGGTTAACGAATTATTTTTATACTCCGTACTTTTTTAGTTTCAAGAAAAAAATGAACAAAAATTAACATGACACATTAACAGTTTTCTTATTTTGTACTTCCCCGATAAAATTTTTCAACTTTCACATCTTGCTTGTCTCATAAAATATTTTAATTTGAGCAAAATGAATATAATTGTCTTTACTTTTCTTGAATCTAACCGAACTTAATTACCTCCACTATCTTCTACGCCATATTTACTTTGACATTTCCGAGCCATACTCTTTTCAATTATCGTCGTTTTACATTTGTAGAACTTTTGGTGTACTTTTGAACGGTTTAATTTTTTACTTTTTATTTCTCTACCAATATGTAAATATAATAATTTCAAAAGAGATGATATTTTCCACGTCGTTCGAAATTTTGCAAACAATTTAGGACAGAGAAAGTATATATTTTTTTAATAAAAAAACTATAAACTTAATTTTTTAATGTATCTAAAAACGATATTTAATTATAATATTATAATCTTGTTACATTTATTATTATAATACTAAATGTTGTTTTAAAGAAATACTCCGTAATATATACGGAGTATAATTCAATTTGTTAGGGTCAAGACCCATTTTGTGTGTGTCGTCGAGGGTCACCGAATCCTCAGAACAAGCCCCGCCACTTCTTAAATTTTTGAAAAGTAAAAAATGAAACTCTCTTGCAAAACGAATGGAGTATATGGGTTCATATGGAAGCCACCGTACCCTTTAGATGAGTATTACCACCTTAAATCATCATCACCCGTTATTCACTTATTCTAATCGTCAAATTGCAAAATTGATGGTGTTTACTCCTCCTAACCCCGCCCCTTACCAGTCTCGTTCTGATCCTCCTAGCCCCCAATAAAAAAAATTCTTATTCTGGAATGAGTTTATTTGAGTAAATTTTTAATGGAATAATGCACGTTTTCGTTTGACTTCTCGCAATGACGATAAAAGGCAAACATGCCGTTCATGCGTATTATAGATCCGTTACACATATTAAGAATTGAACATAACCCGCTTTTTATTCATCATACAAAAATTTTAACTTCATTTATCTCCTCATAACTAATTATAGAGACTTGGGTAAGGAGTCATTATCCTTTTTTTTTCAATTTCTTTAAGTAGAGAAGAGAAGGGTGTATTTTGATGCGTGACATGACATTATTTGACAATGTAAACATACGTAGGGAAACTTCCGCATGCATTAAATGTTTGTACCCACGATGTGATAAAGGGTTTGGACGCAGCGGACATTGTACACGACCACATGGGCACCCACATTGATGTTTGATTTGTTGGTGACACTATATAATGGATTGGACAAAGTAGATTTAATTAATTAAAAAATAAAAACAGCCATGAACAACTTTTTGCCCCTTAAGAGTAAGAATTACATATCTTGTCGCTTTCTATTACTCACCACAATGTATGAGAGCGTTTCAAACATGCATGGAATTAAATGCTACTCCCTCCCTTCTTCCTACAACATCTTTCAGGTTTTGATTTTTTAAAAGATTTAAAAAGAGTGTATTTTACTGCTAACTTTTCAAAAATAATTTTAAATGTGATGAGTAAAAGTAGATGTGATAAGTAGATTAATAGTGAAAAAATGTGATTTAATAGGTAAGTTAAGAATTAGTATGAGTAATAGTAAATTTTTAATAAAAACGAGAAAAGTTTTTTAGGACGGATGAAGAAAGAAAGAAAAAAGGTTTTGTGGGATAGAGGGAGTAAAAAATAACAAATTTAGCAATAATTTTAATTTTTGGGCATTCAAAAATTATACTAACAAATTAAACATGTTATTTTAGCTAGCTACTACAATTGTTATTATAACAAACAACGTTATTTTAACAAGGTTGGTATTTAAGTTCTGCGTAGCTATTTTGTTTATATTTTGCCAATTTAAATTACATATTTTTTTGAATTTTACACCTTTCCGAGTGGTGTAATTTTAATTTAAATATGCATGTCAAAATTTAACAAATAATATCAATACTTTCAAAATTTTTATATGTTTACATCGGTGCTTCAACATTGACCGAGAATCACTAGGTTGACTTGGGCACACCGATTTAAAATATACTACCCATAGTATCAATTTTGGTAAAACTGATGTCATTTTATAAAAATTCTGGGAGCAATAATGTCATTAATTAATTTCTAAGAGTAATTAAGTAAATTCGCACAATTTTAAGGGTAATGGTGTAACTTCACGAACAATAATATTTAAACTTCATTGTTTAACTTCACGAACAATAATATTTAAACTTCTTTATGTTTAACTTCACGAACAATAAGAAAGGAGAAAACCTCAAAAAATGTGCAAACTAAATTTATTTGTTTTAATGAGAGAAAACATGTGAGCCGTCTTTTGTTTGGGATTTACGTTTTTGATCGATTAACTAACGTTAGCATTTTAAATAAAATTTTAATGGTGCAAATTAATATTTTAGAACGCTAACGTTAAAAGATACCGTTAGATGACCTTTTCAAAAAGCTAACGCTAAACTCTAACGTTGTCGCTTAATGGAGCATAAATATTGCTTTGTACTCCTTCGGTATCTATAAACATTTTCTCTTACACTTCTTGGTTGTTCCAAAAAATTCACTTTTATTAAAAAAATACTTTAACCTTACTAGTTCTTACTCTACCTATTACATCATAACGAATGATTCACTCATTGTATCATACTTTTACGTATTTCATCCAAGTGCAATATGTACAAGTCAAAGGAAAAACATATCCTCCCCTTAATTTCATAGAAAGTCAAAATGGAAAATATATTTAGAGATGAGGGACCGAATATAAAAATATGATATTCCAAAACTAACTTTCAAAGTACCCTCATTTTGATCCGTCCTTAAAACAAAGTTACAGTTTACCTAATATGTATGAATGTATGATTATATTAATTCAATCGGGGCGGTTCTCATTACATTTTCCGGCAATGTAATGGGATGACTCGGAGGCGCTCCGGTGTCCCGTTCGTAAAATTGAAGCTTCCTATCCCCCTAACCCCTCGGTAAACCTCCCCACCCCGCCTTGACCCGAACACCCCACCCCCGTCGATCAATTGAAGCCCATAAGTTAAATCATTTTGTGGGGTGCGATTGAAGGGTGTGGGGGGGGGGGGTGTCCGAGTCGGGGTGGTGGGATTTACCGGTGGAGTTAGGGAGGGTAGAAATTGTCAATTTTATGAATGGGGTACCGGAGCACCCCTAGATCATCTCATGACCTGGGGTTCCAATTCCATGGGAACCCCACCTTAATTCAATACTGAGTATATACATTTAGTAAGAGTAATGCTAGGGGTACACCCCCCGTGTACCCCAAATGTACACCATCCTATTTTTCCCCACACATTTTTATTTGATTTTTATTTACTTATTTTTTTGAATTTTTTGCCTTTTTTAGTGGACAAAGAGGGGGTGGGGGATATTTGGGGTACACCTTTGGTGTACCCCTAGCATTTTTCATTTAGTAAACATTGAAACTACATTTAAAAAGGAAAGGGATGTCATTAAACTTGAACCAGAAGTTAATATAATGTAATACTCCCCTATCCTGAAAAATATGAGAGGTTTTGATTTTTAAAAGATTTAAGAGAAGTGTATTTTGGTAATGAATTCTCAAAAATGTCATTTATGTGATGGGTATAAAAATAGAATTTCATAGATCAGATAAACTGATAGTAAATATATGTGATGTGACATGTAAGTTAGAAATTAGTAGGAGTGAAATTGACTTTTTAACATTAGTAGTTTTAGCATGAATTTTTCATAAAATGAATAGCATGCATCTTGAAAGGTGGATAACAATAAAAAAAATGTGTAGTTAAACATGAAATAATAAAAAACTCCCTTTGCCTCATAAGTAAATAAAGTAACAAAATGGATTATGATTGTTAATTAGATATATTTTCAAATAAATTACTTCATCCGTCCTAAAAAGATTTACACCTTTCAAAAAAATTGTGTCCCACAATCTCTTACCCATTTCTATTAAAAAACCACTTTTACCCCTTACTTTTTCAAACCCTACCTATCACATCATACCTTTTTCCTAATAATCTACACATCACATCCTACTTTTACCCATCACATCAAGGGTATTTTTGGAAAGTCAACACAAAATTATCCATCCCTTAATTTCTACTTTAGTCAAAATGGGTAACACTTGATGGGACGGAGGGAGTATTTTGTATGAAATTTGAAACCAAAATTTCACACACGCACAATAATATGACTATGTTATTTTATTAAATAATTGGTAGAACTAATTAATTAAGAAAAAAACCATTAAAAAGCTAGCTAGTATTTGTGGTTTTAGTTTGGGAAGAGAGAATTAACATGAGTGTCTATATATTACGACCAAACCCTACAAAACACAAACCCTAATAAGTCAACCCAGGATTTCCTCACGCTTTCACTTTTATCTTTCAGATGAATTCATTTCTCTATATATATGTATTCATGGCTGACCCTAATTCTCAATTCAACATAGCTTCCCAGCTAATTAGTCAAACCCCATTTTACCTACCTCATCATCATCACCATCAGCTTTTTGATAGCACTTCACAGCAACGACAACAACCGCCGCAAGCGAAGGCCGCGGCCTCGGAGACGGAATCGATAATGTCTGACGGGACCGGTGCCGTTAAGCACCCCAAGTACCGGGGAGTGAGGAGCCGGAGCGGAAAGTGGGTGTCGGAGATACGAGAGCCCCGGAAGACCACCCGCATTTGGCTCGGGACCTACCCCACCCCTGAGATGGCGGCAGCCGCGTATGACGCGGCTGCCCTCGCTCTCAGGAGCGGGGATGCGGTGCTCAACTTTCCCGCATTTGCCGGGAGCTACCCCGCCCCGCTTTCCACAGACGGGGCGGGAATACGACGCGCCGCCGCCCTCGCTGCCTCAATGATGAAGCCGGAAACGAGCGGGGGCATGACGGGTCGTCTTGAAAGAAGCGATTTTAGGGTTTTTGGCGCAAAGTATATCGACGAAGAGGAGTTGTTCGGCATGCACAACTTGTTGGTCGACATGGCGGGGGGGATGATGGTGAGCCCGCCGCGGATGAGCTTGTCGCCGGCGCCCGATGACTTGTCGGAAAATGCCGAAACGGAAAGCCTTTGGAACTATTGAATTGGATAGTTTAGATTATTGAATAATGATCCTTCAATTTCATTATCTTCTCTTCCCTAAATGAAATGCTTTAATTTCTAGGTTTTGAAATCAAAGTTATAGTGGTACTAGCTGGCTACTTGTTGTACTTAAAATTCTTGATTGCTCTTCATATATAGTGATACTATCTTTTTGTTCATTGCTTTTAAATTTGAGGAAGTTATGATTTAGATTTGGCATTAAATTATGTTGGTGAAAACATACTCGATCGCTAGAGATTTGGATTATTGGATTAGTTATATGTGAAATTTGCACTAAATAGGACTAAAACATAATGACTTTCCTAATTTAGGACTTAAACTTTTTTATTCCTTAAATAGGACTTAATAATGTCTTAGTGGAAGAATAATGTCCAGTAATGATGGACATTTACTTGAATAATGACTAATTAATAATGACCAAAACTCCTAAATTGGGAAATAAAAACATATGGTCCTATATTGGGAAAGTCATTATGTTTTAGTCCTATTTAGATAAATTACTCTAGTTATATTAAGGTGAATGTATGATAAAAAAAATTTAAAAATTAAGTCACCCAAAATATATTAGACCAAATCATATTCTTCATTATTCTCAAAATATAAGTGACATATATTATATTTTTATCTCAAAATAAATATTCGCATTGTGATAACGTATCACTGTATACTAGTATTTCACATTGTGTTTTGGTATTACATATTGACATTATTGATATTCTAACAAATGTTTTTGAAATAAAACATAGAAATCTTATTTTTATACTTCGTCTCTTTCAAAAAAATATTATCGGGTATTTGGTATTGTTGATCGAATTGAAACCATATTGTAAAATATGTACAACAAATTTAAGCATAGTCCTCGAGCAATAACAATTTGAAAATTGGCAAATACTTCCTCCGTCCCAAAAAGTCCGACACGTTTCGAAAAAACTGCGTCCCGTAAAGTCTGTAACATTTCTATTAAAAAACCACTTTTACCTCTTACTTTTTTATACCCTACCTATCACATCATACCTTTTTCCTAATAAGCTACCCATCACATCCTACTTTTACCCATCACATCAAGGGTATTTTTGGAAAGTCAACACCAAAATATCTCTCCCTTAATTTCCCAAAAAGTCAATATGTACCAATCTTTTTGGGACGGAGAGAGTACTAAAATGATGTATGGTCCACACAATTTTGTATGGGCTTCACTACTACAAAAAGGACCAAATAAATCCTACATTTGGATCGGTTAGCAAAATAAACGATTTAAAAGAAAAAAAAATTCGCGTATCGCTACACATTTGAATCGGTTATTCTTAATAACCGATTCAAAAGAGTATTTGCATCGGTTATTAGGAATAACCGATTCAAATGTTAAAGACCTTTTGCATCGGTTATTCCTAATAACCGATGCAAATACTCTTTTGAATCGATTATTAGGAATAACCGATTCAAAAGGGTGTGTTATATTCACCCTCCAATATCTTATCCTTATGGGATTTTGAAAGAAAAAAAACCTCAAAACCCTCCTCCTTCGTCGCGCTGTGCTCCTTCGCCGCTGTGGTCCTTCGCCGTTGTAGCCTTCGCCGCCGTTGGTCCTTCGCCGTTGCATGTCCTCGCCGTCG